TCAGCTTGTTCGTCATCAGATTCGTAAAAAACTTGAGAAGGATCAACAGCTTGAGACATTTGTTGTTATTGTTATATAATATAAAACTCAATATCATTGAAACCAGAATACTCATGACTGAGAAACATATTATGAACATCTTCGTCATCCTGAACCTTTAACTGGAAAAATTTGCATTGGTTGTCGGAAAAAAAACATTGAATTCTTGTAGATGATCTAGCCCATTTGACCACACTGTAATTTCTTTTTTAATCTCACCTCCAAATGTAAAAAAATTGATCTTCTGCTAATTGAAAACCTAGTAACATCGGTGTTTCGAAAATTGAAACCGGTTATGAGACAGTCAAATATCTCACCATTGAGATGTGCATTGATCATGTACTGTGGTGTTTGAGCCATAACAAATATTTTACTGAACATGTGTCCGGTAGAACTGTGGTGTAATATTTCAGTGTGCTAGTGTATGATAAAATGGTAGTGTAATAAAATGTAAGTTTCAAGTGTATTAATAGACGCCTAGTTTCAAGTAGCCACAATTTTAATATATTATTGTCTTGACTCAACTATTTTTGTGTGTATTAATCTTACATATAAAACAAAAATATTTACATGCAATTGTCTTGTCTCGTTTATATCTTCTTATCACCTTCCATGCATTAGTCTTATCTTCTTTTATATCTTCTTATCTCTTTCCATGCATTAGTCTTTTCTCTTTTATGACTACCAAGACCCTATTATTATATTCTTATAACATACATTACGCTTGTCTCCTCTATGCTTTATACTATTCTCTTACTATTTTTTTACACTATTCTCTTACATATTTTCTTACACTGTTTTTTCTCTGACTATTACTCTTTTTCTTTTCTCACATGCCTACTATAACAGTCTTACAAGATAACATGTTACTTTATAAAATGTCTAGCATGCATTAATAGACTCACACTTCTTACAAGACAAGTCTTACAAGATCACATGGCTATAATAATGTATTAATGGACAAACCTTGCATGCATTACACAAAATAGTCTCACACTTCTTACAAGACAAGTCTTTCATGCCTATGTTACAAGACAAGCCTTGCATGCTTATGTTACAAGACAAGTCTTGCATGCTTTAAAAGCTTCACATGTGATGCCTTACACGAGATTCTTGTAAGAGATTCCTTACATCATGTAAGAGATACCTTACGCAATTGATTCCTCACATGAGAATAGTAGACGATGCCATTTCATTTGGCCTACCTTCTATAACTTTAACAGCCATGCGCCATATGGTATGACATGTATGTTTAATTTCATAACTAATGCGCCATATGATATGTCGTGTATGTATATTATCCATGCGAACCCTATGATTCTGAAGTAACACATGAACATAAGAATGCCACTATAAATATGTCTCTACTTTCATTTATTCTAAGCCACATTCATTCCAAGCAAAATAAAGTATCAACTTTCATCAAGTAAACATTTCTCCTCACAACCTACATTCATTCCTAGACACGAAGATGTCTCTACTTACTACGGGTGACGAACACAGAGGAACAATTGAGAATATTGCAGCATTTGTAAGTTTTTTGGTTTATTTGTTTTGTCTCCCCTTACTTAGTTGTTTTGTCTTTATAACTAAGGTTTTTTATATTCTTTGTCAGGATGTAACGAGATTTCGTTGTCATGTACATGACTGTACACCACGCGACCCAATCATAGAACCATACCTTGTATCACGCGGTTTCGGTCATTTGATAAACATCACTTCGTACTCAATTGACCTAAAATTTATTTAGCTTTGCTAGAACGATGGAGACCAGAGACCCACACATTTCACCTTCCTTTCGGTGAATGTACCGTCACATTGAAAGATGTCTATATGTTGATGGGCCTACGCATCGATGGTAAGACCGTTAACGGCAAAGTTGGTGCGAATAACCAAATTTGTGAAGATTTGTTGGGTGCCCCTCTTTGTGTCGAGACACCTCAGCCATAACGTGCAGGTCAACCAAGGGGTCAAAGTATAAATTTAAAATACCTTAGAGAACATTATAAAATTATCACATTAGACGACGAATCCACTGAGTATGAAAAGATAATTAAAACCCAATGTTATATTATGATCTTATTTGGACATTTTTTATTTCCATAAAGTATTATAAATACTATAAATATTATGTATTTGTCGTTGTTATGCAACATTCATAAAGTATGTACTTATAGTTAGGGTTCAGCTGTTTGGCCCCATCTATATAGTTCATTGTGTAAAGATTAAAAACAACTTGTACGTTTTATGGTTGCGCCTTTCTACTTCAAGCATGAGGTTGGTCTAGAATGCCGACACTTGCTCCGGTCAACCTGAATCCATACACATTTCCCTACACAAACAAATAAGTTTATTTTAAAATATCAAACATGTATACTTTGACGAAACATTTATTGCTAACTAATTTATTTATCTCACTTTTTTTGCGTGGTCAGTTCTGGAAATGACTTACCAACAGTGTCCCAGAAACTCAATAATCGTGTACCGCAATCTTTTAGACCACATTGGGCTGAACAATGTAAATTATTCTTACACCACTATAAATTTGGCTATTAAATTAACACACTACAATTTTTCTAATTAAATATTTTGATTATGTAGTTTGTCTGCAGGCCGTATGTGGGTCTCGACCATCAGCCTAACCTTGATGATCTTGCAGTATGGACATAAAAAACACTAATCATTCGGTTTACTACAGTGGAGATGCACCAAAGTATTCTAGTGAAATTGCAGTTCGGTATGCTACAAGATATTCCAGTCGCTCTGATATCTTTGGGAGTCTGGCATCAATTGAGAGTGGATGCACAATGAGGTGTAGATGGTTTGAGAGACTTTGCTAAAGAGATGTATTGATATTGGAAGAATCGACGTCGCCGCATCTTAAACATTCCTGTCGTGGAAGGGGCTAGACCAAGTCAACAATATATGATTTGGTTTAGGTCGATTACAACACAACAATTTGTGTCTGAGTCGACATATTTGATAGATCCATGCCAACGTGCTTCTTCCTCCTACACACAATAACAAGCACCTGCCCAACAATCAATCCCGCACCATACCCAACAACAATATTATCCCACCCAATCAAACTTCCAAATCTGCAATCCATTTATGCCACCCACCCAATCATAACAACAAGAGTCTGACCCTTACCACCAATATCCACACACCGACACCACATCTGCTTATAGCTCTGATGACTCTTTCGACTCCAATCCAACCTACCATAGCCCTCAACAAATGAACACATAATCGTCCTACCACCAAAACACCCAACCACTATTTGATTACATTATCCCACTATAGCCATTGAACCGTGTCCAAAATGATTCAATGTACCAATTCAGCCAACCATACAGTCTGCACCTAACCCAATCACTACGTCCCAACTTTGAAAACATGGGCATGAAACTGAATTACGAAAGTGCCGTTGACACCAACCCCCCGGCTATTGGGGACAAATGATTGAAAAATTTCCAACTACGCTAGGACCCTCTCATTAAATACATTTTCCGCAAGACAATATGCAAAGACCACAAACACCTCAATATGCAAAGACCACAAACACCTCAACAAAATCGTGGTAGATCTTGGAAGCACGCTAATGGATCAGGATGTGGAACCGAGAGACATTTTGATCGGGCTAGTAATTGATTTTTTTTATTTGTTGTAAACTTTAATGTATTTTTATAATATTATAATTATTTCTTTTTTTCTCAAATATTTACTTATTTACATAACATTTTTCTATTAAAACAAATAAATAAAAAATTAAGGGAGAATGCGCCATATGAGATGAGACATGCACTCAAAATTAAGGAAAAAGTTTTGATTAAGGTATAGGCGCCATTTGATTTGGCTACACCTGCATGTATGTTCCAAATAAAATGGTGCATGAACTTTAACTTCATTTGAAAGTACATCACTTTAGTAATTAATTTGAAAAACATGTTATTTGCATGCTTTCATCTAACTATACATATAAAATTTACTATATTTTATAGTTTTGTTAAAATTTGATTTAAAAAATATTTGAAAATTTTAAAAGTTAAAATTTTATGTAAGGATATTCATTAATTATATAATATTTTGTTTAAATTAAATAATTATGAAATACATATCAATAATTTTATTTTATAATTTTTTTTTATTTTTAATTTATATAAATTAGATTAGTAGTCATGTAGTAGTTTTAAAACACAATCATAAAACACAAGACACTCATTATCATTGTTTTTTATTTATTTACAATATTTTTTAGATAAACTGGTTGGTTGAATATGGATATCTTTCATGTAAATAAATAAATTTAAAATTATAATTTATTTTAAAATAAAATAATATTAAAACTATTTTACACTGTTCAATTAAAATAAGCTATTTTGACACGTAATTATAAAATTAAAAATAAATTGTTAAAATAATTTATTTTAATTAAATAAGAATGTAAAATAAAATATACACTAACAATGTGTATTCTAATTAACCTCATTAAAATATAACTAATCTCATTAAAATATAACGTAATGTTAAATATTATTTCATTAAAAATATCACATGCATTCTAATTAATCTCATTAAAATATAACATAATGTTGAATATGATTATTTCATTAAAAATATCATTACATGTTAGTTTTTTAATTAGATGAACACTCCAATATCTTTCAATTTAATTAGATCCCTATAATCAATCAAATATTATAATTCATTATTACATAATTTTCATTTTATTTTATTTTAAATAAATTAAAATTTTATCACAATTTAAATGTACCAATTTAAATTAATGATACCTAATAATTTACCTTTTAATTATTATTTTGCAACAAAGAAGGAATAAGAGGTTCCTTGCTTGAACGATGCATTTTGCAGCAAGAATGAAGTGATTTATAAACTCAGCTAAACCCTAAAAAGAAAAAAAAAAAGAATCCTTTTTTATCAGAGAGCGTGTGAAGAAAATGGCCGGAACCAGAAATTTGATCGTTCGATCATTGGCACTTCGTCATGCAATCAAGAACAGTGTTCGTCCTCTCTTAACCAACACAAACCTTCATTCCCGAATTTCCAAATCGTCTCTCTTCGCCGCCACACTCGCCTCTTCCTCCTACTCCTCTCACCTCTCCCTCCACCATTCCCGTTCCCTTTCCTCCGCCTCAGGTCTTTTCAATTTTTATATTTTCTAACCACACGCTGCATTGCATAATGCTAATGTAGTGAATCGATTTTCAATCATTTTCAGCTTCCCCTGGCGTTATCCTTGTTAATTCCGCGGAAGAGTTCAATAAAATCCTTAGCAAAGTTCAAGGTATGTTTTCTAGCTGTCTACTCTTTAATTTTGCCCCATTCATTTGTTTTTGTTTTTATAATTTTTCTTATGAATTTCTGTTGAATAGATGACTCGTTGCACGCGATCTTCTACTTCACTGCTGTTTGGTGTGGACCTTGTAAGTTCCTTTCCCATTTGTTTCTTGAAGTTTGTTTACTGATCAAATTTCAAATCTAGGGTTTGTGTAGTTAACAAGCTACTAACAATGGCGAAAGATTGCATTGCAAGTATAGTTTGTTAGACCTTTTTTTTTTATATGCATATGCATACTATTAGATTACTAACACTGACCTATGACTATGATTTAGTATGATTTTTGCAAGTGGTTATGTAATTATAAAAGCATAACACACTTTTTTATGATGTATGTACATAGCATTTTAATTCTTACAGCAATGATGATCAATTATTGAGGAGGCTAAAATGTTGTGCTGGTTAATGCGATTTCAAATCATTGGATATGTAGGATAAAAATCTGAGTTTTGATTTTAGTCAAATATCCGAGTTTCATTTCCCGGAAGGAACTCTAAAACAAAGTAAAAAATAGGAGAAATGAAAGGAAAGCATGAATATGGTTGATTCATTTCTTTCTTGGAATTCATATTTCAGTCACTTCGAACATGGGAGGTTTCACTTCTATTTTTCAAATATTGGTCAGATGCCACTTCTGTGGATATATATATGTTTCTTTTCACACCGGATCTCTGTCCGCGTTTGCTAATCTAAAATGGTGTTTTTAATGTATTCATACAAAAAGGGTCACATAGATGTTCTGGGTCTTTTTCTTCTTCATGCATTCCATTTCCATCCCTTAAATTCTTCTGTGAAGTAGTTGGATGAGTCAACAGTTTTACATTTGGTTTTGAATTAGAGACGTTCAAACAAAATTATGAGTCAGTGTCAACTAAGTAGCATGTTTTGTGATCTAGTAGGAGCTGATTCAATTAATTATAATTTCTAATCTATAGCTGAATTAGGATATTAGGTTTATTTATTGATGATAGGTCCACTAAATGCCCTCATGGGTATTGAAAATAACAATGAAGTCTCTTATTAAAAATACAAAAAAAATTACAAAATAGATTTCTGTGTACTATTCTGGTTGAAAGGTTAGTCAGTTGTTAAAACTGCCAAGTACTTGTGTAAATGTTAAGCGGTGACCCGTCAATGCCCAAAGATAGTATGCTTAGAGGCAGTGTTCATGTTTAATTCTTCATTTGTTTTTCTTGGTACCTAGATATTCTAAAAAGAAAATTTCACAGTTTTGCTATTGTGTATTCCTGTTTAGGCAGGTTCATTTCTCCTGTAGTTGGGGAGCTCAGTAAGAAGTATCCTAATGTGGCAACTTATAAGATTGACATTGATCAGGTGTGGAATATATTTAATAGTGTATTGTATGGTTTTGAATTTTGGACCAGATTATGATTTACAGCCATTTTTCAACTTTATATTGGATTATCAATAAGATTTACAATTAACAATTCAAATTTGTGATCTATGTAATTCTAATTATATAATCAATTGTTTACAAAGTTAGCATGATTTCTACCTCTCTTCACTTTACATTTTGATTGGTTTTTGCTTTTCAAATTTTGCTACTTCAGTGGAAACTATCTGGCCATTTCCTTATTGGGATCTTGTGATTTCTCTCTTGTTTTCTGATTTTCATTACTTTCTTCCATTTTAGAAGCATGACTTTGTGATGGCTTGAAAGTATTGTTTCTTTATTTACTATGCATCACAGTGGCAGAGTGGCCAAAATATTGACATTTCCCTCCTAATATTTCCCAGGAAGCAATTCAAGACACATTGAGTATGTTGCAAATTACATCCGTGGTAATTTATTTAATCTTCTCAAAAATTTGTTTGCGGAGATAAAAACTTTCATATATGCTGTACTATAAATATAATCTGCCCTCTTTTACTCATCAATCACGATAGCCATCAGCCATACATAAGAAGAAATAGTTGTGCAATTTGAAATTTTGCTCCAGTTAGACTGTCATCCTTTTTATTAATCCATATCTCTTGTTTGATTCACTCTTTCAAAAATTGCTTCAATGTTTTCATTTATGAGACTTAAGTCATAGGTACATAGTTATCAGTAGCTCATCGCAATTGAGTATCCTTAGGCTGCTGCAGGTCTTTTGTGACGGGAACAAAAACCCTTTTCTACTCCATTTTGTGTTATAGAACCATCATGTTTTGGTTACGTATGTGATTTGCCTTCATTAGGTCGTGTTTTTCTGTGGCAGGGACATAATCCCTTTTCTTACCCCCTCTTGAATTATAGAACCATCATGTTTTGGTTATGTTTGTGATTTTCCTTCATTTTACATCAGAAACATACAAATTTCTGTTTCGATGCAATACTGTACAGACTCAATTAGGTAGTGTTTAATTGTTTACTGATTTTGGTATGTTTGTTAGTTTTCACACGCCCAATGAGAATCTTGGCCAACGTAGAAAATGTACATGTGCTGGTCTTTTCATAGAGTGAATTCATAACTTGAACTCAAGATTTTATCTCTGTTATGCATTCTAGAATTAAAATAGTGAATGACTGATGATTATGAATTATGACTTGTTTTTTTTTCTATGATTAGTGAAATGCTCTGGTTGAACTAGATTGGCTCAATTGTTTATATCCAAGTAAATTGATAAATTTCTCATTTTTTAGTCCATGGATGTACTACACTTTGCTTAAATTTGTTCCTGCAATCCTTATAACAATGACTTACCTTACTGCAGCCAACACTTCACTTCTTTCAAAATGGGAAAAAGACTGATGAACTTATAGGCGCAGATGTTGCACGATTGAATCATATTACGGAGAAACTCTTCAAGTAATGCTTCATATTTAACTCCATTTTATGTTTTGTTTTGTCAGTTCCCTTCTTCTATTAGGTTTTTCATTTGTCATTTCTATTGAGTTTTTCATTGGTGTCACTTCTATTAGGTTTTTCATTGGTGTCACTTCTATTAGGTTTTTCATTGGTGCCATTCTAGGTTGTAATATTCTACTCTTCTGGATGTGGTTTTTGATCCGTTGTATATTGCTTCCTAGATATACTTTCCAATTTCATATTTTGATATGGACTGGTCATGCGGACATATCTAAACATGTATATTTACATTTATCACATGTATATTTACATTTATCACTTTGCTTTTGTGCCGGGTGATCTTGGACTTCTACAATATACACCCACCAACTTGACCAATTTAGATATACCCAGCTAGGTTTACCCCCCCTCCTCCTCCCAAAAAAGAAAAGCTGACAAGAGATGCCTATGTTATGTTTATTCTATGAATTTTTTAGCAGCAAAAGCATTCTGTTACTGATGAAGTTTTGGCTAACAAAGAGTTCTATATTTCAGGAAGGACTAACTCTGACGCCAGGGTGGGAATTGCTGTTGGCTGATTGAGTACTAAATGAGAAAATTGCAACTGCTTTATCGTACTTTAGGTGTCACTCCGGTTTAGTAGTTTGGTCTCGAATGTCACCACCAAACATTGAAATGTGTTATTTACGGCAACCATTGATGTTATTTTAAATCTCAACAAAACCGGAGAAAGAATTGCATACTTGTGTAGGTCACGGAATATTTGTTATAATCATACTAAGTGATTTCTTATATCATATAAAAGAATACCGTGAAGTTGAAAAATCTTGATACATACATCATTTATTGATAGTTTTTGTGAAATATATCAGATATGCCTGAGAGAAAAGGAAATAAAAGTGGTGAAAACCAGGGAATAAATTGATAAACGAAATGATTTGATATATATAGTTGTTGTATAGTACAGTATGTGTTGATGAAACTGATATCATTGCGATATTCATACTCTTCAAGTTTGTTAAGGAACTAAGCTAATTTTTCACTCAATTGTTGTTTTATATCTTGTAGCTGATGTGAAATATTCTTGGGACAAGATGAATTTCAAAAGTAAAAAACTACTCGGTACAAAAAATTTACCAACCTAAAATCAATAATAACGTTATAATTTTTAAGGGACAAAACAAGCTCGCAAATTTCAAGATAAGAAAGAGAGAAATAGACGGGTTTGAATACTTGTCCCGAAATAGACATTCAAGCTCAGAACAATTGCACCATGAGCATCATGGCTGCACAGTGGGTGCACCAACCTTATCTACCTCGGGCTTCCACAAACAATCTAGGCACGCATCATCATAGTTCTCAGAACCATATTACGCCTATTCTTTTTGTGTCGCAAACTCCAAAGCTTTCAAATGACCCACGTGGAAGAAGATTAACCAAACCCCTTGCATTTGCAGCCACAGAAACACAATGTGAACAACCCAGCATTCGACCACTCATTGATCTCTTAAAGTCCTGCGAGCAAAATGGGTCTCTGAGACAAGCCAATTGCATTCATGGGCATGTTTTAAAATCCAGTTTTAGTGATCGGGACAATTTGGTGTGTCTGAATCACATAGCTCATGTCTACTCAAAATGCATGGATTATGATTCTGCTCGTAAGGTGTTCGATGGTATGTCTAAGAGAAATGTGTTTTCTTGGACTGTCATGATTGTTGCATCGAACGAACATGGCTACTACAGTTACGCGTTGAAACTTTTTTGCATGATGTTGGAACATGGTTTGTTGCTTGATGGGTTTGCTTTCTCTGCTGTTTTGCAGTCTTGTGTTGGATTGGATTCCTTTAAGTTGGGTGAGATGGTTCATGCTCAAATTGTTGTTAGGGGTTTTGCGACGCATGCCTTTGTTGGAACATCTCTTCTCAACTTGTATGCAAAGTTAGGAAAGTGTGAGCATTCTGTTAAGGTGTTCAACAACATGACAGAGATTAATGATGTTTCTTGGAATGCAATGATTTCTGGTTTTACCTCTAATGGTTTATACCTGCAAGCATTTAATTGTTTCCTCAACATGATTGAAGTTGGTGTTTCGCCTAATAAAACCACGCTTTTATGTGTTTCGAAGGCAGTTGGGCTGTTAGGTGACATTACCAAGTGCAGTGAAGTTCATAGACATGCTTCTAACTGGGGATTGGATTGCAATGCTTCCGTTGGAACATCTCTTATCAATATGTACTCTAAGTGTGGGTTTCTGTCTAATGCACGGTTATTTTTTGACTCGAAGTTCATGAGTTGTCTGGTTAGCGCGCCTTGGAATGCAATGATAACAGGCTATTCACATGCTGGTTGTCACCTAGAAGCTTTGAAAATGTTCACAATAATGCGTGAAAATGGCGTCAAACCAGATATTTACACATTCTGCTGTGTGTTCAACTCAATTGCTGCTTTAAAGTGCCTGAAACCCTTAAAGGAGACACATGCGATGGCTCTAAAATGTGGATTCAATGTGAGGGAAATTAGTGTATCGAATGCTCTTGCTGATGCTTATGTCAAATGCGAGTCATTTGAGGCTGGGGAGAAGGTATTCTATAGAATGGAAAAGAAAGATATAGTATCTTGGACAACCATGGTGACTGCATATTGTCAATACTCGGAATGGGGGAAAGCCTTGGCTACCTTCTCCCAGATGCGGAGCGAAGGCTCTGCACCCAATCGTTTTACCTTCTCAAGTGTGATTACAGCATGTGGTGCTCTTTGTTTACTGGAATATGGCCAGCAGATTCATGGTCTAATATGCAAGGCCAGCTTGGATACTGACTCATGCATTGAAAGTGCCCTAATTGACATGTACTCTAAATGTGGCAATCTGATAGAGGCAAATAATATATTTGAAAGGATATCTAACCCGGATACTGTTACCTGGACTGCAATTATATCCACTTATGCTCAACATGGTCATGTTGAAGATGCCCTTCAACTCTTCAGAAAAATGGAACAATCAGCTGTGAAAGTCAATGCTGTTACATTGTTATGCATACTTTTCGCATGTAGCCATGGAGGAATGGTGGAGGATGGCCTGAGAATTTTCAATCAAATGGAGGGTACCTATGGCGTTGTACCAGAAATGGAACATTATGCTTGTGTTGTTGATCTCTTAGGCCGCATTGGCCGTCTAGATGAAGCAGTGGAATTTATCAACAGAATGCCAATCGAGCCAGATGAGATGATTTGGCAGACTTTGTTAGGAGCGTGTAGGATTCATGGAAATGCTGAACTAGGGGAGACTGCTGCTCAAAAGATTCTATCAACTCAACCGGAACATTCTTCTACCTATGTTCTTTTGTCCAAGACTTACATGGAATCAGGGCTACTTGATAATGGAGTTAATTTGCGAGATGTCATGAAAGAACGAGGCATTAGAAAGGAACCAGGGCATAGTTGGATTTCTGTGAGAGGTGAGGTTCATAAGTTATATGCTAGAGATCAATGGCATCCCCAGAAAGATAAAATCTACACTATGTTAGAAGAGTTGACTAGGAATATTAAGTACATGCATTATGAACCAGAATTAAGTATAATATTCTAACACATGAACTCAACTTGTTGATTACAATAGTGCTTAAAAATTAAGGAAAATAGGGGAGAGGATAGAGGGGTCATCCAGGCTTGTGGCAAAAGTAGTAGCATGATTGATGTTATGACCAAAAGTGAGGTAACAATTGATAGCATGTGGCCAACTATTAGTACAAATATAAAAATCAACTTGAGGGAGGTCTGGATATTGCCATTGGTGTTTTCCAAATTGGAAAGCAACATGTCTATAATGTTGAGTAGATTCAAAGTATTGTTGGTTTATAGATGACAAATATTTGTTGGAGAATTCCACCAATCACTTTTTGCTAGAATTTCCTCTCCCAACCATGTTCTTCGAACTTAAGACTTTTGTTTTAAAAATCCGAACTAAGGTTCACTTTATAGCTACTATATATTTCTACCAACAGTATTTAAGTTAACTCACTCCAATGCTTTAAATTAAATAATGAAGATATTTTCAATTTTAATTGAGTTAATATATAAGTTAGTCCTGAATGCTTTAACTTACTCAAATTATTTATCTTTCCTCCAGTAATGACACATGCAGGAGTATCATCTGATGAAGCCTTCAAAGGGTCAACCTTCCTTGTAGCAGTTACCCCTAGCAATCCATGTCTATTCAACACATATTACATGTGTAGTGTGTGCAAATAGAAAATTAACACATGTTAAATGACTCTCGTGTTTATTCAATTAATTAAAACTGATTTAAAAACAAATGATCAAAGGTATATGTACTTTATCTCTCCATAACCAACCTAACTATTAACAAAAAAAAAAAAAACTAATTAATATCTAATAGACATTTTAATATCCTCCACAAACTGGAGAATATAGAGTATGAACACCAACTAATTAACATCTAATAGATATTTTAATATCCTCCACAAACTGGAGAATATAGAGTATGAACACCAAGTAATTAACATCTAATAGATACTTTAATATCCTCCACAAACTGGAGAATACAGAGTATGAACACCAACGAATTTACATCTAATAAATACTTTAATACCCTCCATAAACTGGAGAATACAGAGTATGAACACCAAGCTTAGGAAGAATAATGTTGAAAGGTTGTAAATTCAACGGTGTTGTGAAGATATCAGTGAAGAAGAAACAGACAACAAATGAAAAAGCAAGGGTTGTAAATTCAATGGTGTTGTGAAAATATCGGCCAACTCGTTGTGAAGAAGAAATAGACAACAAAAGAAAAAGGCATTACTGGAGCTTTTTACGAACCAAATAGCAATTCAAATCAATGTGCTTGGTGCACTTATAATAGGAGGAATTGCTGTCGATGTGTCTGTCAGAAACATTATCACAACACAGTACAACCAATTAAATAAGAAAAATGTAGAGATTATGTTAGAAAATTAATTTAAATCGAATGAACTAAGACTAGAATCATGAACGAATCACTTTCTTTACAGTATTTCAAGCACTATCAAATTGTCTTATACTTTCTATGTTGGAATACTTAGGATAATTCAGTCTATACTTGAGTTTGCATAAAATCGACGAAAACTCGAATGTAGGAAATATAAAATTCTGAATTATGTGTGAAGAGGATAGACTTTTCTCATGTATTTTTCTGAATCCAGAATGCTAAATTTATAGGTCAAACTAATGTTGTTTCATAAGGTTGCAACCCTTGATGAAACACACACTTTCAGCATCACTTTTTCTAAATGTTGCATTGTTTCGCCTACAATAACACTTTTTAAATGTTGCACTGCTTCACCTACAACAAAACTTTTACCAAATGTTACAGTGTTTCGCCTACAACAACACTTTTATCAAATGTTGCACCGTTTCTCCAACCTCAATTTACAAAAGTTGCAACACTTTACGAAGTGTTGCATATTTCCAAGTTCAAACCTACTGCAACACTTCACAAGTGTTGCCTATTTCTGAATTCAAACTTACTGCAACACTTCACAAGTGTTG